CAGCAAGGGCGACGCCAGGGGTGCCACTGATTGCGCAGCGCGTTCAAAGCAGGCCATGAAGCACTTGGGGTTGGGTGCCCAACTTTCACATAGGCGCAAATTCTGCTGTCATCCTTCAGTACTAACATGCTGCAGTTCCATGGCCCCTGCACCCTCCTAGCATCTCCTAGCAGTAAGCTTAGGCCACTGCTATTCAGCTGGACATTGCTAGAAGCATTATGTATAAGCACGCAGACACTTCACAGGCCAAGCTTGCAGCCAGCGACGATGATCCCTGCGCTGGTCTCTACGGTGCAGACAGTGTTCAGTGTGCTTGGGTGCAGGATATTAACACTTGCGTTGAGGCTGGTTGCAGAGGATGCTCCGGGGAACAGTGTGAGCTTTGCCGGAGCGACGTTTCTGCTTTGAACAAGTGCTGCCAAGACCATAAGCACTCGACCACACCCCCAGTGGCCTGCGCCGACGCCTTCGTGGAGACATGCGTGGCAGAGCAATGTCGCGGATGCAGCGGAGAGCAGTGCCAGCTTTGTAAGCAGGACAAGTGCTGCAGCAAGAGCGATGCCAGGGGTGCCACGGAGTGTGTGGCCCTGGCGAAGCAGGCAGTTTGCTTATTAAAGTACTAGGCCAGAGGGTTTTTCTGAGGCGGCCACGCAGTGACCGTTAATTAGGCAGTAGAGACCGAGGAGCCCCCAAACAGGAAGACCTTCTAAGAACCAATGGGATCCATGGGAAATAGAAATCTAACGAGTTTCCTACGCGCAGTCCATGTCCTATCCATTCTACGCCCGAAGCATAGACACGCTTGAAGTCCAACTTGCCATGCAGTCCGCGCTTCTTGCCCTCTCCGCCACTGCATCGCCGTGCAACGGGCTCTACGGCGCCGAGGCCCTGACCTGTGTATGGAAGGAGGACGGCCAACCTGCACCTAGAAGCAGAAGGGCCAAGGCTTTCCGTCAAGTCCTGTGAGGGACCGTTTGGGGTTGTTGAGGTCTGTCTTCGGGATCAGGTTTAGGACCAAAAGCTATGAGTGACCACAATGCGGGTGCACTCCTCATTGAAGCCAATCATGGGCAAGGGGGTCGCAACTACGGAGTCGGGGACAGATGTAATGTTTCGTGTGGGCACAATCTAAGTCCCTCAGCAGTAGGCCATGACCCTGTCAAGCGCGGAAAAGTAAGCATTCAAATTCGGAACTCCAAGCCTCTTTGTCCTGTAGTCCCCGTGATTCGAGCATTGAAGGACCATTTCCGTGCTGTTTGTACCAGAAGAGAGTAGGATTCCAGGTTCTTGACATGCAGCT